TGATTTTTTGTTCTGATGATGCCTGATACCTGATCCCATTGATGCCTCGTGATCACACAAGCTGGTGTGCTTCTTCCATGTGGGCTTTGTTGTTTCTCAGTTAGATGGCCCTTTGTTTATCTTCCAGCCAAAGGACCCCAGATTCTTTATCTTTTAACAGCCAGGCACCATCAGCTTTCTTCACCACATTTGCTTATGCACCCGCTTTGTCTTCAGCGATTGTGTCGGGGTACGTTGGTGTGCTTCTTCCATGTGGGCTTTGTTGCTTCTTAGCTAGGTGGCTGCCTGTTTATCTTGAAGCCTTTAAGACCCCAAACGCTATATCTTTTGATAGCGAGGCACCATCAGCTTTCTTCACCACCTTTGCTTATGCACCCACTTTTTCCTCAGCAATCAAGTCGGGACAGGCTGGTGTGCTTCTTCCATGTGGGTTTTGTTGTTTCTCAGCTAGATGGCTGCTTGTTTATTTTCAGGCCTTTAAGACTTCAGATGCTATATCTTTTGGTAGCCAGGCACCATCAGCTTTATTCACATTTCCTTGTGCACCCTTTGTCTTCAGGGATCATGCCAGGAAGGTGAGCATCTCAGATTGCCGAATTGTTAGAACAAAGTGTTCTTCTGTTGAGGGAGTATTTGAGCAGGGGCCCACTGTCCATCTGTTTTCTTAATACTAAACCTATAAATATATGTACATAGATCTATTTCCCCCTCATTGTATATAAATATATTTACGTCTGTATATGCCTGTATTTAAATCTCCAAGACTATCCTTTGCCTCCTAGTTCTTTCCTCAATTTCTTCATACTTTCCTCTTGTCCCACTATCATGTTCAGCCTTCATTTGGGTTTTAGGAATTCCTCTCGGTTACATTGTCCTTGATCCAGCCCTGCCAGATCTCTTACACCCTCCTTGCCACTGATTTTTCGATCACTTGTTGTTCCCTTGTCCTTGGGTTTGTTAACACCCACTTTAAACATCTACTTTCTATTTGAGTGTTTAGATACCACTATTAGTAAACTTAATGAGAAACATTCTTTCATTTCTAACTATATCGCTCTACTTGTTTAAAACCCTTAAGGTCTTCTTATATCTGCCAGTATGATTAACTACAAATATGAATAATCATCAAGAAATTCTATTTATCAGTCAACTTCCTATGTTTCCCTTCACAGTAAAACCATAAACAGGATACTAATCCTAAGTAATGGATTTTTTAAAATTATGCTTTTCATTTGTCCACTTGCATTAATAAAAACCCATTACTGAGTATCCAACCAGGGAACAGGTTGGCTGACATTACACAGCTACAATGTTGATGTTCACAACCTTTTGACTGTGTAGTTCAAATCTCATTTCACAGATGGGAAAATGCAGCCAAGAATAGCAAGACAGAGGCAGTGGGGTTAGTACAGTTCATGTATACTCTTTAATGCTATGTAATACTACATAGCATTGAATACTACAGTTCATGTATATCCTTTAATGCTATACAAATGTGGGAATACTACAGTTCATGTATACCTTTTAATGCAATGTAAATTTGCCCTTACTTTGAAAACCCAAACCCATCCATCCAAACTCGCTGCCATGTGGAACTGCCATTGTGGGTTTCAAACCTGTAAATCTTTATAGTAGTAGAAAGCCTTATCTTTTCTCCATGGAGTGGCTGGGGGTTTCAAACTGCTGATCTTGCAGTTAGCAGCCTAACTCATAGCCCACTGTGCCACCTGGGCTCCTTGAACCAGTCTACTCACAACAAATTCTTCATCACAATCACTTTCACTGGCTATAGGTTCAGCTTTGAAATCACTAAAGAAGTTTGAAGTCTTTGTGGCACTAACGGTGATGAAATAAGATCTGTCTGCATCTGTGCCAAATTACCTACAAATTCAACTTAAAGGCAGTTAGCAATGGATCTCGTTCATAATTCGGGGACTATTTATAACCATTATTAAGCAGAAATTGCTGCAACTCAACCATCAGACCAATGAGCTAGACCAGCATTGTCCAGTACAACTTCCTACAGTGATGGGAATGCTGTGTAGTACTTGACCACGAGTGGTCACTGAATACTTGAGATTGGGCACTGTAACCAAAGAACTATAGTTTTAAGTTTTATCTCATTATAACTTAAATGCCAATGGCCACACAGGGTTACCATATTGGACAGGTCTAACCATAAAAGCTAGAGGATCTCTTGTGGCAATCCTCGAATGCATCTCTGCGATACAAATAAGGGAGAGGAGAGGGGTCCGAGTGAGCAGGGCTTACCATCTCCGTGTTCCCCGTAGGCCAGAAAAGGAGGGATGGTGATGATACGCTTCTCTCCCACACACATGCCCAGCAGTCCTTTGTCCATCCCAGGAATCAGCCAGCCAATCCCCACATATGTGTCATAAGTTTTCATGCGGTTGTGGCTGAAAACCAATGAGAAAGGAGGAAAGTCCCACATCACGATGGTGTTTCCAACTCAGTCCTCCTGTAAGGTTTTTGTTAACCAAATCTCAGTTAAACAAGGAGCCCACACTTATCGCTGGAAACAGGCATGTATGGTTGCTTGCAAACACAGAGCAGTCATCTGCAAGCTTACGAAGAAATGAAAAGCATGTAATGGAACTATGATTCACCCAAACAAGGCCTGCTTTCCCATCTAACCAAACATCCTAGCAGAAGAAAGCCCAAAGGGTTCACTGTTTCCAGCCCAGCCCCTCCTTCCTCCCTCACACTTCCTGGCTTCATATACATTCTTGTTTCCTCTCCTCCTTCTCTGGGGACATTATAAAAATTAACCAAGCATGGCACGAACCTACTGACAAACAGCCCTCACTTAACGATGATGTCTCAAAATACTGCTGCTTTAGATTGACACTGCTCTTAGATGACTCTAGGATTACAACAACCAACGAAAGAGGGGTTTGGTCTCAACCTCTCTTTTACAACATCACAAGACAGAGGCACCCGCAGACACTTCCCCAACACAACCGTGGAAGACAAGACTTACCTAGAATCAAAGAGTGTCCCATCCAAGAAGGTTCCATTGTAGTGATATCTTACAAAATCAGATACCTGGGCTGTTCTTGGACAACTGGGGGGCTTGAAGTAAGTGTGAATCTCAACCTCGTCTTCAGAATTCCAAATATCCATCAAAAGTACATCAAAATGAAGCACCGAATCTGGGGGAATCACACCAGCTGGAAATCAAGGAGAATTCAGGCTGAGAAGCGGCTGTCTTTCAGACTGGACACATACACGCCTAGGAAAGTTCCACGAGGCATGGACGTGAAAATGGTGCGTGGGTCCCTGCTATGGAATTCCAGAAGGGAGCCACTCCCCCAGCAAAAACAAACAACAACAAAGAAAAAAATTCTCCCCTCAATCAGGGCAGCATCTGATATACTGTACCTTCTCTCACATCCTGAGGCAATCCATAGAAGATGGGAATTCTAGCTGCATGTGCATTCGGGGCTTCTCATTGCCCACCTCCCCTCCCCACCCTACCCCCGCCCGGTCACAACCTTCCAAGGTTTCATAGTCCATCTGGCTAACCGGCTTGCAGCTGCCCTGATTGTTTCTGCAGATGTGTTTACAAACCCAGAACACACACTTACACACGCCATCATTTCCATAGGCAAGCGTCGGGGGGATCTTCACGAAACGCCTCTCGTTGACACACATCCCGACCAGAGCTTGGTCCATGCCTGCAATCAGCTGTCCTTTGCCCACAAACACGTTGAAGGTGGAGTCTCTGTCATAGCTGATGCCCCGGGAGACAGGGAGGGGGAGAGAGAGAGAGAGAGAGAAGAATGAGGAGTCCTTCCCTGAGAGCGCACCGACCTGTTGCTCTCTAGCCAGCGTCCACTCGGGCGACCCCGGGTGCGGCACAGTAGAACTGTGCTCCACAGGCGTTTCAACGGCGGGTTCCTGGGGAAGCAAATCGCCAGGCCTTTCTTTTGTGGCACCTCTAGGTGGTCTCTCTTAAAGAAACCAATCTGTAAAATGTACCTGTGAACAGAGGGAGGTCACTGTTTGTTCAAAAGCCCACCAATGAAAGGGCGTGTATATGCTCAACACTAACCACAGGCTAAATTTAATTTTTTCAATAGCCTGCAGAGCTACCAATGCAGGAAATGTCTTCAATGGGCAGGACCTACAGTGTTGGAATGCTCAAATGAACTTAAATATTACCACGAAATCAAGTGAGTAAAGCATTGTCACAACTCACCGTAGCGAAAACCAAAAACATTATTAGGTTTGTTTTTACAAAATAGCTATAAATTCTTCCACGAAAAAAAATTTTTTACTCTATTTTCTATGTCACTGGTACCTAAAAGCAACATTATAGATACTAATGCCCAAGTTAACTTACATTGTTCTAGGTCATCCAGTTAGGTCAAGAGTAGCCCTGGTAGTGTAAGGGTTATGCACTGGGCTGCGATCTGCATGGTTGGCAGTTCAAAACCACCAGTAGCTCCAAAGGAGAAAGACTGGACTTTCTACTCCCGTAAACAGTGACAGTCTCGGGAACCCACAAACAGTGTACCCTGTCCTTTATAAGCTCGCTCTGAGTCAGCACGGACTCCATGGTAGAGTTTGGTTTGGGGTTTGGAAGTAAGGGTCAACACAGAGGTGGCGTGGTCTAGAATGAAGCAGATTGCACTCTCCTAGACTCAGTTTCCTGCAGAATAGAAGCAATAATAATAAGCACCCCAAGATATGTACAACAGCATAAGTGAATAGTGCTGTGCCTATATTTATAGATTTAGTATTAAGGTAGCAGAAGGACATTGGGCCTCCACTCAAGTACTCCCTCAATGCAAGAATACTTTCTTCTATTAAATTGGCATT